TCATTATATACAGGTTGGGCCAAATTGGTTTCCTCACTGGCAGCAGCAAACTAGGCTAACCTGTCGCACTTCCCCCAACTGCTGCTCGCGCTCTGTCGCTGTCGCTACCTTTTTTGGGTGGTGCGTGTTGCGCAACGCATTAAAAAGTCGAAAGAAATGCCGAAAGTCTGGACGCAACAATTTCCCTCGAAATGCTGTTCAATTTGCATAACATTTCGCTGGGCAGCCCCAATCGGTTATTGTACAATAGGCAATGGAAAATGTTGTTTCCCGAAGACTAGAAACTGAATCTGTAGTGTTAGCTGCGAAGTAACATGAAAGTCATTTGCATACATATTTCGCTTATGTTTTGGTATTTTTTCTTATATATTAGATATTCAGATATTTATATATATATATACATATATATTGCTTCATTGCCAGTGGCGACAAAACAAAAAAGTTGCGTGTGACTTTTGCCCAGATATATCTTGATATCTTTCAAGTCATTTTTTTTTCTCTCTTTTCTATTTATGAATGTCGGAAAACACACTAAATTACAACTTTCTCACGATCTTTGCGGGTGCATCGGAGCATAGAGAAGGCAAGCATATATCAAGGCAAGCATATATCAGTTTATAGCATATATATTTATGTATATAGTAGTCAGATTCTATCCAATTGCCTCGCTTGATCCAATTTGTATTTTGATTTGATGCGCGTAATTCAACCCTAATTCCATTAGGCACGCTTCGCTTGAGGCGATGTATGTCACAGCTTGTGGCTCATGGGAGTGTGACCATGAAATATATGTTGGCCAAGTTAGCAATGTGGAGCATTAGATTGGGCGTTAAGAGCCACAGTTAGGTTGCGTTTATAGCACAAAATCAGGCAATTGTGACAGTTGCAAAAAGCACCTCAAGCAATCTGACACAATATAACAAAAATGCTGTGTCAAGGCTTTGGCTGTGCACCCAATTGGGCTAGCTTTGCAATTAGCCAATAGAAATATTTCAAGTCTAGAATAGCAAAGCTGAAAGAGTTTTAGGTTCAGCTCGTTGGAAAAGCTAAAAGAGCGAGGCTCAAAGCGAACTAAATTCGATCTTTGAGCTTCGCTTTTTTAGCTTTTCCGTTGAGCTAAACCTAAAACTCTTTTTGTTTTGAAATATTTGTCTATTTGCCAATCTCAAAGCCTGTAAGAGGTAATCACTTTAAATCATAAATATATAGATAGTTTGATTGAAACTTTTTTATTTCTCTGAAGTCAGTCAAGGCAAAAAATCCGAAGCTAAAGTTTCTTAAACACACCTCGCATAATCTTAGAGCTACAGACACGAAAACTATTCTGAAGATTCTGAAAAAATATAAACTGCTTTTAGCATTTTCCTTAACCTTAGAAAGTTGTGCCTGAGCTAAGTATCTATAGAGTTCAGGGTATATTCAAGTTGAGCATTCCTCGCCTGGTTTTTCTCTGCATCGAAACTGGTTTGCCTTGAATTGTAAAACTTTTAATTAAGATTCTATCTAAAGAGCCCAATGTTGGCTAATGATGAAGTTGATGTCTATACCAAATCGAAAACTATAATAGAAAATGTCATAAAAACTGGCTAGGGATGACGCCAAGAGCTCCAGAGCTCCACAGGAATGGCTTTAACTATATAGATAAATGAAAATATTTGGGCAGCTGTGGCTTTTAGCATGACAAAAGTATGTGGCTAATAAAAGTGTATAGGCAAATTGAATTGGCTAAGAATGCGACGTTAATTGTTGTTAAACAGTGTTTCGCTTTCTATTAAACCACTTAGCTTGAAGAAAAATTGTAATTAATTTCATTATTTAATCGATCTTTGCATTAACGCACCTGTGCGCCAACAGGTGTCCACCTGCAGCAGCAGCAGCAGCAGCAGCCACAGCAGTAGCAGTAGCCAAGCTAGAGAAATACACGTCAACTGCAATAAAAACTTTCACCCAGGCGACTTTTGCGACTCTGGCGCGACTCCGAGGAGCTATCGAAATGTGCAAACACAAAAGTTGCATTGCAGCCGCTGGCAGGATGGCCAACAGCGTTGGCTTTTTGGCCAACACGAAATGTGCTGAGTGACCGGGAGGCTCATTGGCAATAGCCGAGGCCCAGGCCATTAGCGAAGAGTTTTTCCTTTTCTAAGTCTCATCGTGGTCGAAGGGAACAGAGACAGCTAGAAAAAGTTACGCAGTCATTGGCGATGGGAAAGTGAAAAGTCTCACACATTTTCAGCAGCATTCGCAATGCATTTGGTTTCATGTTAAACACTATGCATGACATGGCCAATGCCACGCCCATTAACTAAGCTTTCAACAGCAGTCGGCCAAGACTGGGCCCAATTGCCCAACTTGGCCAACAATTTGCTTGGCAACTAATCAAATTAAATGTTATCGCGAGACGAGCAAACAAGCTTGGCTAACGGCAAACATTGTGAACGACTAATAGATACGCTGTGCACTCAGCTCAGCATTAGAGTGCATAGATATATCTATTAGCCCTATAACAATTTTCTAGAAATTTATTTCTTTATAAACAAGATGCCGCAACATGTCACCAACTACTCTTGTTGACTGTAAACACAATTCTACAGGGTATAACCAGACGTTAAACACACCAAGCAACATGCCACGGCCAACAATCTAAACAAACAACAGCGAAGACAGCTTTGCAATTTAATTTTCTTTTCCTTTTTTCCCCTCGTTTTCGACTAATTATCATATATACACAACGTATGCATATTTATGTATTCAAATTAGCAGAGCGACAAACACACATTAAAATATAAATAAATCCGAATTTCGGGGTGTGGTCCAGCGTGGCCAAGGGCTGATGAGAACGTGTCTGTGAGCGCTCGCCTGATCGATTGTCTCTTTAATAATGCATAAACAGACGAAAGTCGCTTTGCCCAGCCTGTGTCACATGAAAATACGTCAAAGAACAAGCTAAGATATGATATTCATCGGATGCATTGCCAATCAGTTTCATAATCGAATCGGGCATATGCGCTTTGGGCGTTGGCTGACTCAAACTAAATTCCATTTTTTCTTTACAGAAAAGAAAAGATTTACTTCGAGTTGATTGCGTTTTATTTGGGTATGTGTGTGTGTGTGTGTGTGTCATATTGTGTGTTGATTACTCTGAACGCGTCGCCACGAAAAAAGAGTGCGAAATGCAATGACTTTTGCTATGACAGCCAAGAGCTGTCTAAACTTGAGCTTGAACTTAAGAATATAAATTTCAATTTGCTTTTGCTTAAATAAATACATTTTTTAGTAATTATATACAAATTTTCAAGCATTCATTTGCTTATACTTTTTTATATTAAAACAAAAATTAAAGTATGTAAAAAAAAAACATTTAATTTTGTATTTATATTTTTAGTAGTAATTAAAGTATATTAAAAAAAAACATTTAATTTTGTATACATATTTTTTTTAGTAATATTATACTATTTTTTATTCTATGCAAAATAATTTAATTTAAAAAAAATAAATTTTGCATTTTAATTTTATTATTTTTAAATTTGGCATTAAATTTATTATTCTTTTTTAATATTATTTTATTTTTATTAAAAATTAAATTTTTTATTAGTGCGTTTAATAGTTTTTAATATTATTTACTATTTTAATAATATTTTATTTTATAAATATTTTCTTTACGAAGTTGCAGACAATATGAAAACAAATCAAAGACAAATTTTAAATATTGCCTTGATACAAGTTAGAAGAATGAAATCAATAACTCAACAATTGATTATAAAACGATAATCATAAACAGATATCAAATTGCCTTGTTTATATTTGGATATTTCTTGCTCTGATTTTATTTACATTTCGCGATTTGTTTGCGCTTGTCCCATTTGGCGCGCATTGTTTAGCAAATGTGGAATTCGATCGTTTTCTGAGCCGGCGCACAATTTGACGCAACCTTTTTGAGATGGGGCACATCAAATGAAATAATGAAAATCAAACTGCAGAACCAAAACAATTTTCCCAACAAATTATGACAGCCAAAGAGCCAAAAAAGAACGTCGGCCGCAACGAGCCAAAGAAAGCAATCAAAAGGGCCAATCATTTCTGCCCAGGCCAGCTAAGGTGGCCAGGGGGTGGGGGTCAGGTAGCTAGGCACCCGGGGGCAGGTCGTGAGTGCGCCGAGAGCCAGCAACAGCACGGAATCAGACGGAACAAAAGCAAAGCAACAGCAACAACAAATTACATATTCTTCTTCTTCGCCTTCTTTTTATTTTGGCAGAAGGGGAGTGTCTGGGGGGCGCATGTAATTGTACATAGTGTAATATGTATATAATGGGCAACGGGCAATTGCCATGGCTCGAAGAGGTGCGGCTTGCGCCGGAACAACTCGACCCCGAAACTGAAAAAGGTTACAACACACACACACACACACACACATACACACACACACACATATTGAAGTTAACACTTGTAGAACACTTGTAACAACTGCCGAATATGCAGTGAGTCCAGCAACCCGCAGGTTCGGTGGCATAGCCCGTGGGTTCTCTGAAGTCAGCGTTGCGTGCAAAAGCCAAAAGCAGTTCCACTTGACGCCCATTCTAATGGGTCATGGGGGTCTCTACATGCTAAGAATGAGCCATAAAACTGAACATAATTACGATATGTTCCTGAGTACGCTTGAAACAATAAAAAAACGTGCTCTGATCGGCAGTGTTCGACTAGCAGATACCCTGTACCCATCAATCATTCTACACTACTTTTAACCCAATCTCAGCTTGGCTCTAATCAAAGAGTTCATCTAGCCACAATTGAAGTCGTTTTGTCTTTCGCCCGATCCGTAGAGTGTTAAGACTGTGACTGAGACTGAGATTGGGCAGGGGGAGGGGTAGTCACGGCCGGTTGCAAGTCGCGTCCAGCGTTCAACTGTGACCGCGGGGCAAGTTCGCAATGATTGCAAGAACTTCTGCGTTGCTTACTTTCTAGGCAAAAATCAAAGTCAAAGTCGCAGTCGGCGGCTAACTTACCCGAACAAAGCAAAATGGCAATGCCTGCGGCTCGTCGACGTCGACGTCGTCGTCGTTATCGTAGTCATTTTCCATGCTGGCATTTTGTTGGTGCAGCAACGTTTTAGTTTCATCTTCGGTGGCGCCACCAGCTGCAGCGTTGCTGCTATTGCCAGCTGCATCCATATCGAGAACTCAGAGAGCAAGTTGCGCGCTTTTTGCTTTTTCTCCTCCCTCTTTCTCTCTCTCTCTCTCTCTCTCTCTCACTCACACACACCAGTTAATTAGTTGTTGTGATTGGCAAGCGGCCAGCTGCTGTTTTAATTGCAATTGACATGAGCATTAGCATAAGCTTTAAACATTAAGTATACGCAGCATAAGCCAAGTAATTCGAGCTATTCGTATAATAACCAACTGTATTTGCCAGTCTCCCTCTCTCTCTCGCTCTTGTTGACTACAAAAATTTCACTTTTGTCCGCGGGGAAGCTTTTTCAGTTTTCAGTTTCAGTTGCTGTTTTCATTGAATTGCCATTAAACGTCATTATGTTGCGGCCATGGCGAGAGAGGCCTATAACATACACCTACACACACATATATATATATATATATATATATATACCTCTAATCTGTGCTCTATATGTGCAGCATAAATGCACAGCTTCATTTAATTGCCAACATAAAAGTGTAGCTCGAATTGAATATGCTCGACTGGCAGCTACCCTAGATAGCAGCAGCACTTGACGCGTGTTGCATCTGCAGTCAATATGCCAATATGCCCATATTTGAATATAAATTTAATGAGTATTGAAATGCAATTGGCTTTTTGCTGTTGCCGTTGTTGTTGTTGTTGTTGTTACTGATTGAACAATATAAGAAAAAATATCGTGTCGTGTTTTTCACTCGTTTCTGTTTCTTGAAATGGGAAAGTTTATCTCAGAGTCGGCACTTCTCGAATTCGTTCCGCTTTTCTGATTTATATGATGCATCTCTATAAGCATATAGACAATTAACTCTCGTTTCAGATATACCTAACAAATATCGTCGGCACTGGTGCTAGATGCTAGCTATATATATTCATATTTATATATATATATATATATTTAATTAGCTTTCAACTTGCGTAATTAAAATGTATATAGTCAATGATATCTGAGCAAATCTTATCGCTGTTAACAATCTATGCAGCTATGAATCATCCAAATTGTAGACAAAGCGAACAGCAACTCTTAAGCTGCAAATCCAAATTGATTATTTTATTATATTATTTCCGCAAATTAGAATCTAGCAGTTTCTGCACTACTCCAAATGAATCATAATCTCATTATCTTGCAGGTAGCCTACCAGTGTCGAAGACACTCGTGATCTTATATGATCTAGGTATCTGTCTCTCTATAAGCTAACGAATGTTGCCATGGAATCATCTATTGGGAATCTGGACAATCGACTTGAGCTATGTTTTCTTATATATTTTCTTATATTTATATCTATATCTATATCTATATCTATATCTATATCTATATCTATATCTATATCTATATCTATATCTATATCTATATCTATATCTATATCTATATCTATATCTATATCTATCTATATATCCATATATATACCTATATCTATATCTATACACATCTCTTTATATCTAGACTAAACTTTGATTGACCTGCAAGTTAAATATGTCATAATTCTTATCTAAATCAGTTTGCTATATATTATGCGAAAGCCTTATCTATTATCTATTTATATCTATCGTTATCCACATATCTTGACTCAACTCACATAAAGTAGCCAAATTCTTATCTCAGTCCCATCTCCGACTAATTATCATATCATTCTACCAGCTACCTTTTTATATAGCCAACCAGATCTAGTCTATATACGTTCATTATAGTTTTATGCTTGGCTGTGGGCATTCGAAATGATGTCGCTGTGATGGCGAGCCTCTGACCCTCTAACCCAATCCACTTTATGGTCCACAGATGAAGGCGCGAAGCGGGAGAGGAAAACGTATTTGCTGATGCTTTTGTATTGCTTGTCGCTTTCTATGCGATGGCATTTAACAAAAAAGCTATGTGCAGCTTTTTAGAATCGGCAATAACAACAACAGCAAAATAAAAAGTGGAAGCAGCAGCAGCAGCAACAATAGCCCCAAGTTCTATGGCAAGGTAAGATAGGGGGCTAACGGCACCGAGTTACGGGCGGCGTGACTAAACTGGTTGGCATTTTTAATTTGTTATTCTTTAGAGTCAACAATTGACACAAATACTATCATCTGTGTACACACACACCCACACACACATTAGCGAACGTATCTACTTGTATGGAGCCCAGACACAATGCCTGATCCTCGCTGACGCGCTCATTGCTAATGTCTTTAATCAGCGTTTGCCTAGTGACATATCGTTGCCTCCAATGCCACAATGCTGTGGGAGTATTATAATAATAATAGTACTTAGTGAAGCTGAAGATATCAGCCGATAAAAGCCGATGTTTACTTTGATTGTTGATATCGATTTCGAAATCGATCAGCCTGAGCTACAGTTTGTCTGGTCTTCAATATCATCGAAAACGGCTAAAAAGAGTCTTATTAAATGTCGGCTAAGTCGGCTATGACCTGTTGGGCTATCATAAAATTGAATTCACGAATCAAACTCTAATCTACAGTTTGACGAGCACTGCGCTTGAGCCATCAATCGAAGCTTTGTAGACTCCAATAATGCTAGGCCATACAGGCAGAGCTCACTGTTTGGCAGTCACTGGAGCTTAAAACCGTATATGCAGCAGACAAAAGCTCTTCTTAACTGCTGCCAGGGCATGGGACAGTCGGTTATAGCCAACATTCTCACTTGTTGCTTGTGGTATTTGCGCTGCTTCATTAACTTTTCCACATCATCAACAACCACCGCAACAACAACAACAACAATAACATTCACCCACTAAAAATTGATCTTATGCTCGTTTATCGTATTCTGTTTTTGCCGCTTTAACTATTTTTACTATTTGCATTTTAGGCTTTGCGAAGTTAAACAATATTTATCTTCCGCTACAACAACAACAACAACAACAACAGCAACAGCACAGCACAGACAAAAACAACAACAGCACTTGTCGCCCGTTACCTTTATTTCTTTTTCTCGTTTTGTTTGTTTCTCTTCTCTTTTTTTGCCGTATTTATTGAATAAACAAAAGATTTCTAATTTGTTTGACACTCGCACAACTCACACGCTCAACTGTGTGGCTGCTGCAGCAGGTGAGTTAATGTTTCAACTCGGTTTTATCGTTGTTATCGTTAATGCACTTTCCACAACTGCTACAACTATTAAAAAACAAAACAAAACAAAACAAACAAAAAAAACGCAACAGGTTGCTACCTGAAACGACAAAGCTATTTAACTGCGTAAGGTGCACACGCTCGACTCGAATATTAAGCTACGACTGAAATTACAGCGGGTAAAGTATGACCAGCCGTGTTTCAATACGTTTACCGCTCTCTTCGAAGATATCGATTGTTTAGCCTAATCGAGAAAAGTGTATGTATCAACATAATTCGATTTTCTTTAGTCTTTTTTGTTATCGATTAGTTTGTATAAGAGTCTAATAAAATTGTTGAAACATTTTATTTACCGTTGAATTTGTCTGCTTTATAGTTTAAATGCATATGTTATCATATACCTATAATGTAAGTTATCATTGGATTTCCTATCGAAAAATCCAAAAAAAGTATTATTTACTTACCACAAAAAGTTCGGAATACTAAATTTCGGTTAACTTGAATATCATTTTTAAAAGTTCAATGTCTTAATAGAACAATATATACCAAGAGGATCTGCTAAGCATAAATTATGTTTAACTTTCTTTGCTTTATAATAGGCAAAAAAAGAAACTCCATCTTTAATTACTAACGTTAAACTTGTTCGGTTCAGCATTGCAATTATTTAGTATATTTAACCGCTTTTTTGCAGTTGAAATTTTTGGGCAACTTGTGCGCGCCGCAAACGGTCACACTGTGCCACAGCTGAGCTCGCAATAAAAATAAATATCGAATTTGTGTTTGTGTGTTGCTGGGGCAAAGAGTGATTTGTAATGTTTTTCCGCAGTCTATAAACTAGGTAAAAAAAAAAATTGTATAAAAATATGAAAAAATTATTCGATCTGCGCAAAGAACAAATTACGCGCAAAAACTTGCTAATAATAGTTGATGTTACAACAACAATTTATTTATGGCGCTTTGTTTTGAATTTTTATATAATTTATAACTTCTACAAAACAATTTGCACACCTACACAAACGCATACACCCACGCAGCCACACACTCACACACAAACACTCCCACGCATACATACGACAAATGCAAGCGCAATAATTCTTGTTGCTTCTTGCAAATACACAGTTTGAGAGTCACTGTTAACAGAGTTGTGAATTCAGTATAACAAATAAATAAATGTATAAGAAAATAACAGAAATTTATGGAAATATATATTTTTTTTTTAAACAATAAAATAGTTAAAAAAATAATGTGAAAAATTAAAAAGTTACTTTTTTTTAACAAATAAAATAAAAAATATTTAAAAAAATGAGAAAAATATATTAAAAAAAATATATATAAAATTTATAAAAAAATTTTTAAGTTCATTTGAAAATTTTGCTATTTTTATTATAGTTTGAGAAGTGTACAAAATTATTCGTTGTAGTGTTTTATATAGTATAAGTACTTTTGTTATATTTCCCTGTTCCCATATCTACGACGGGGCCATAATATATAGCAAATTTCTAATAATACAAAACAACCTCTCTGTATACATATACAAATACATACACATATACATATATATATATGTATTTGTGTAGTAAGGCCTTCGAAGATGACCGACAGAAGAGAGCGACGCAGCGTAAACGAGTGCATCACCAATTATCCGTACTATGGGGCCCAGGCGCAGTCGAATCTGCAGGCGAGCTGCAAGAGTGAGTGCACCTAACGGAGATAGTCGATTTGCGTATTATCTGTAATAATCATTATTTGACTACTTCAAGACTCGCTGGACTTTGTGCAACGCTTGAGTCTGCTGAACACGTTGAGCGTGCACAGCGGCTGTGTGAACACGGTCAATTGGAATGCCAGCGGAACGCTGATTGTGTCCGGTTCGGATGACAACTATCTGGTCATAACGGAGGCCAAGAGCGGCCGTGTGGCGGCTAGAACCAAAACGCAACACAAACGCCACATATTCAGCGCACGCTTCATGCCACACTCCAATGATCAGGCCATTGTCTCGTGCTCCGGCGAGGGCATTGTCATGCATACCGAATTTCTGGCACCCTACGGGCCCGGCAGGAGTGCCGAGGAGGCGCTCATTGGCGAGGGCGGTCGTCAGGCCAGCTTCTTTGATTGTCACGCCTTTGGCAGCACATACGATGTCCTGCCATTGCCGGACAGTCCACGCGTCTTTCTCAGCTGTGGCGAAGATGGCACCGTGCGCTGCATCGATCTGCGCGTGAGCAGCCGCTGTGCCGAGTCCGTGTGTGATAAGCACATCTTTATCACGGCACCATGCGCAGTCACCGCCATGGATGTGGCGCCCATTAACCACTATAAGCTGGCCATCGGTTGCTCCGACTCCATAGTGAGGCTATATGATCGACGCATGCTGTCGGCCGGCACAGATCGGGATCGCATCACCTGGCCATTGAAGGCATATCCCATACCCATGAAGTATACACGTCGTCACTATCGTCCCACCTGCGTCAAGTATAGCGCCGACGAAGCAGAGCTGCTTGTCAGCTACTCAATGGAGCAGCTATATTTGTTCGATTTGCAGCATCCGGGCTACAACGATGCCGACTTGCTACGCAGTGGCTGCTATACACCGAAGCTGCGACGCGACAACGACCCAGAGCCGCAAATGCCACGTTTGCGTTTTCGCGGCGATTGGTCCGACACAGGGCCCAATTCCATGGCCAATGCCGATCACGATCCGAATCGCCTGAATGTGGGCCAGGCACGCCCGCCGCTCGTGCCCAGCGTGCTTCGACGTCTCAGCGATGAAATTATTCGCATGCTCAACTCTCAAACACATCAGATACACGCCATCAATCCGGCCAGCCGGAGCAACAGCTCCAGCTCACGTTCGAGTCACATGTCCTGGCAGGATGCCGTCTTGCGCACGCTGGATAATCAGAGCGAATCGGCAACAAGTCGCACCAACAGTCTGCGGCTCGCTGCCGCCAATGAAATCAGCCAAGCGGCAATTGCGGCCAACTCCAACCCGACTGCAGCGGATGGTGAGTAAAGTCAGTTCCAAGACTCTGGCTAAAAGCTACAAAGCGTGCATATATTGCTATTATGTATGTATATATATATATTTTCAATCAATTAGTCTATGATCTATTGAATCAGTATTTTAATCTAGTTTATATTGTCTTTAAGGTCAACCACTTGGACACAGCCAGCTCTAAATTGTCCCTAACACTCATTATTTATCTCTGTGTTCACATTACCTTTAGACGCCAGGTAAACGTAGTGCATCAGTTAGAGCAGCTGCAGCAGAACATCGTGTAGAACGAGACATAGATATAGTTGCATTCGAGTGCATTGGGAAACATTTATTTATATTTTCCAATATTTTATCAGCATAAATGCTCAGTTTTAATTGCTGAGAATCGCCTAGAAGAGCAACAAATTTTTCAAATTTGATTTGAGAAAACTTAGCTAATTTTTGTGTACATAAATACATATATGCATGCATGCATACATACATACATATATACATACATACATACATACACACACACACACACACATACATACATAAAAGCAAATCTAGGCGATTTTCGTACTTAGCGTAAAGTCAAATGAAGATAGAAATTATTTTTGTCTATGAATATAAAAATGTTATTTATATGTGAGCCAAAAGTAGGCGTGGCAGACCCCATAAAATAGAAATACTCTTGATCAGGCAATAAGCTGTCCGTCTGTCAGTTGGAATCGATAACTGATAATAATCGATCATTTTATTTAGTTTTTTAAGCGTTGCTTGAGAACCAGAAAAGCTAGAGTTTTTGAATTAATCGCTGTGGCTCAAGGAGTCGTAGTGAGGTCGAGCTATCAGTCGGGCACTCCCGACTAGATCACTTCTCTCTTCGCTTTACATATAGCTCCCATTTTTCGTTCGCAGCCGACGATAAGCGAGATGCTGTGATGGAGTCTGCAGATGATGTAAAAGAGCGACAGCTAAATAAGTTTGACTACATAAAAATGTCATTTAGGGGACATCGCAACTCGCGCACCATGGTGAAGGGCGCCTGCTTCTGGGGTGACGATTTCATAATGTCCGGCTCGGACTGTGGCCACATCTTCGTCTGGCAACGGCACACTGGCAAGGTGGTGAAGACACTGCTGGCCGATCATCGTGTTGTTAATCGTGTCCAGCCACATCCGACGCTGCCCTATTTGCTCAGCTCGGGCATCGATTACAACATCAAGGTGTGGGCGCCCATTGGGGCAACTTCAATATTTGATGAAGCTGAAACAACAGCGGTAGGTGTCACAGAGCGAGAGAGCGGGAGAAGAGATTATGATTAACATATTTTTTATGTTTACAGCTAATTAAGAGCAATGAAATCATGTTGGTGGAGACACGCGACACTATAACGGTACCTGCCCAGGTCATGATACGCATTTTGGCCGGCTTGCGTCAATACCATCGGATCAGGCATGCATCGGGTACCAGAGGATTGGGCGTGGAGAGTAGGCGTGGCCGCAACGAAACTATGCGAGCTATTGAAGCGAATGCTGTTGTTGCCGCAACTGCAACTAGCAGTGATAATAATGCGCAGCATACTAATCATAATCGTAATGATAATGATGAAGATAATGATAATGATGATAACAATCGCAATGGTACCATCAGCATCAGCATCAGCAACAGCAGCAGCAACAGCAGCAGCAGCCACAACTCAAATACAAACTAAAGAAATCTTGTCAATGAGAAAACTATATAGATATCCACATAAACATATATAAATACATATTGTGGCTATCGGCGCTGCACTCCCGTGTCTATATAATATATATATATAATAGATATATATTGTCCATTCCCTGCTGGCCACAATTGTGTCCACATTCCCCTCCGCATCCATTCAAGCTTAGTAGTTTTCGGCGCCGATATCCATCTTAATTGTGAGACTCAAAAAGCATACGATCGGTGTAGCTATATATATACGGTACATACTATATATGGATATATCAGATAACATTTGTTCCTTTTTAATTTGTAAATTAATTAAACACACTTAGAGAGAACTGTCTAGTTTTGCTATTTGTTATTATTGTTAGTACGTTAAACTGTTTTGCCTCTAGAAAATGACATTATTCGTGTTTTGTTTTCTTTCTATTTTGCTCTTTTATCATTTGTTCTAACTCAAATGAAAGAGATATATATATCTATATATATATACTTGTATATGTACACTAGCATACATAAATTGCGATTAAGTACACTACGCTTAAATGCTAAACAACTATAAGTTAAATGCACTATATACAAAACTCAACTGATATTATTTACATTACATTTTCTATATATATATATATATTATATAAGTATATATATATATATATATAGCGGCTACGTTTTTCGTTTTCGATTCTCCGGGAAATTGTTTTATGAATAACGCTATTAATAAATACAATATACATTAGACGATCTAAACAATATCTTGCACAATATGATCTCGTTTAACAATTTGTTCGAATACATATATATATATAAATATATTATACTTAAATATATAATTAAGTGTACATTCGCCTCATTAGGTGCGGCGCAGACCCAGGCTGTCGATGGTCTTAGTTATCGCCATATCATTAATTTCCGAGTCCTCTGGCTCATTGTTATTGTTGTTGTTATTGCGGTTAGCGCTGCCGCTAGCGTTGCTATTGGCTGCGCCCGTTGGCTCCCCTCGGGCAGCGTATGTGTCTGAGAAAATATGAGCCAGAGCAACATAATGACCATAGCTGCCAGTTGGAGCAATGCCGTTGATGCTTGGCTGCTGTTGCGGCGGCTGCTGCTGCTGCTGCTGCTCCGGCTGCTCCATGCGCGGACGGCGCATTGGCGGCGGCTGCATTTCCTCCTGTGCTGCTGCCACTGGCTCTGTGCAGACGCTGTTCTCGCTGCCGCTAGCATTGGAGGCGTACAAGCCATGGCGAGCGATGGCAGCGTCTATGGCATTGCGCTCGATGTCGAAGGCAGGCGCTCGAGAGATTGCCTCGGTGCGATAATGTCGCACAATTTCCAGATTGTGGTTCACATAATTTTCGCGCTGCGCCTCGGTTAGAACCGCTGAATGCCACTCCTGGAGCTGCTCATCAGTCATATTATTGACTATACAAATCACATATATTTTTTTTTATTATATGTACATAATACACACAAATGGCCATGAAGTGAGAGGGAGCGAGAGAGAGAGAGAGAGAGACAAAAAAACAAACATGTATCGCATGAAAAGGCGCTTCAGCATATGTTTAATTTGGTCGAATTGTTGACAAGCCATGGCCACCACTTACAATTGCTGCTGGCACTGGTCCCTCGCCGCAAAACCAAGTTTTCCATTTCGATTTTTTACCAATTAAACAAATGTAAATACTTTTCGATTTGGCATACGAATGTGTCTATTGCATACACAAATGCATTAGAGATGCGCAATGGCCAAGTGTCAGGGGAAGGGCCAAATATCGATAACACTTCGATATATCTAGTAATGCTTGCTTTCGATATGTGTGGCGCCAAACAAACCTTAAAATTTGTATCAATATTATTTATTCGTTTATATTCAAAATTAGACTTGAATTAGGCGCCTAAAGCAACTTAATTCACTTAAATATATAGTTTATACATAATAAGTTCAAAGTTATTTATTAAATTGAAAATAACTTAAATAAATATATGAGTATTTGAGTGAAAAAACTATTCAGTGCTAAATATTTTAAACCATTTTTGAAAACTTAATTAAAAATAAATTTGAAATTTTTTTTATTAATTTAAATCTATTGAAAATTAAACTCAAAGGAACAACAGTTGCTTTTTGTTTCAAGTTAAAAAAATGATTAAATAGAAAAAAAAGCAAATAAATTAACTAAAAACAATTGTTTATAGAAGATGCTGAGAGCTTTTATTATAAAAATATATAATTAAAAAAATAAAAATTGAAAGAAAAGTTAGTAAGACAAAAACCTTTTTATTCATTATTTGAAAAAAAAATACATAACAATTTGATTTCTATAATTAACAACACAACCACAAACAAATTAATTAAATTTTTTTAAAAATATTTAAAATAAACTATATATTTTAAATAAACTAAAACAAACTTAAAACAAAACTAAAATTTAAATATAAAGTACAAAAATTGGAAGAAAGAAATTGAAGAAAAATTGAGCTAAATCCAATTTCGAATTACGTAAACTTATTACGTTATGATTATATTATGATTATGTTTTGAAGGTAGTTGTAGATGTGTATATATATATATATATATATATATATATATATATATATATGTATATAAATATATACCATGCTTACCTGATAATGTTTAATGTTAATTTCCTCTAGTTTTTTTTTTGTTTACTTTTTTCCATAATGCAAATGGCCAAAAGCTGAAGGAATATATTCGCGCTACGCTTGGATACATTCACTCATTCACCCATTCATATTCACATTCACAATTGCATTTGCAATTGCATTTGCAGGCTGCGTTAATTTTTCCGCCTTGTTTGAGGCCTGTCGATTGCATGTTGTAACAGGTTGGCTTGTAGCCGGGAATGCAGGCTGAGCAGTCATGGAAGAGGCGGCAGCAGCAGTAGCAGCAGCAGCAGCAGCAGCTGATAAAAGTATCTTGAATGTAAAATTCTTAACGTTTCGTTTTGGCATTTATTTGTTGTTGTTGTTTTAATTTTTTTTTGCGCAGTTTTGGACAAGTCGCACGAGCGTTTGGGGTTGAGAGACGGCAAACGCTTGCTGCTTGGGGATGACTGGGGAGGAGCGGGGGCTTTGAGGGAGGGGGTTCCAGGGTCTGTTACTGCGCGGAATGCATTCACGTTTTTTTCCTGTGTTTTTCTTTTTTTTGTTTGTTTCTTTTCGCATTTTGCATTTGGTTGGCCTGTTGTAATTGGCAATGAAAAATTCCAAGTGTTTTTCAAAGTGCTCTTTAGATGGCCTAATGTAAGCCAACTAACTAACAAAGAAAGCAATTTCACACACACACAGCACCAGCACTCACACACGCAAGTAAATACTTTGAATAGGTAATAAAATTAAAAAATTTCAAAAAACTGGAAGCTAACGTACGACCACGTATGTGCTTGTCTAAGGAACCCATACCAAAGCGATTTCCAACTGTTGCTGTTGCTGTTTCCACCCAGCGCAAAACAAAAAAACAGCACACAACTCAGAGTACCTTAGTGGGCAATGCTCGACTAGCAGATACCCCGAGAAAAGGCTAATTCAACTGTAGGTCAAAATCTGAAATATATATATGTGCCTAACAATTATATGCGAGCTGCATGAAAAGCAATTCAAACTATCGATATTTATCGTTAATGAACATATGCAAAGAGTTATCGACTCTAGTCGGCAATGCTCGACTAGCAGATACCCTGAAAACTGCTTATTTATTTATCCAGCATAAGCAAAGGATTATCCAATATGTATAGCCTCTATACTTGACGTGATAGACAGCTCGAGGCGCATCGTGCTCGACTCTCAGCCCTACACCTTCAGTCAACCCATATACCCGTTTTCTTGCCAATTGCAATGGGTTCAAAAAAAGAAGAAAAACAAACGAAATGAAAAGAAAAGAAAAGAAAATAACAAAAAGTCATATGAAGCATTCCAAAGTGCATAGGAAAATATCAGTGCACAGTGCCTGCATTTAGCTCATTTAATGTAAAACATTTTTGCCCCAGCAAACAGCGGCAGCAACAACAATAACAAGTGTATTATTAACTATATACATGCATATATATAGTCATATGGCTGACTGCTAGACGTAGTTTTACCTATTTTGCACAGCAAACTTTATATTCACTTTGAATATATCAAAAATGTGTGATGAATTTACAAATATTCAAATTTCTGTATAAAAATCAGCAATTGCACTTGAAGAGCGCCTCGAATCCCCATCGGAGCAATATTTACTATAAGTGACAGGCAAAGTCTGCAGGAACTTCTCCCCTTCGATAGTCTCTATGGAGTAATAATCGATAAATCGTCCAATCGATTTGACAATCAGCAAAAATTCATATATATGGGCGTGGCATAGAGATCATAGAGTGACTCTACAAGGATTCACGTGCAAAAGTAGATGATACCAACTCAGCATCTGTAAAAGAAAACTAAAGATTTCCATGATTCTATCGGAAGTAATCTACCTGTAAGACTGTGAAAAGATATGGATCATCCAACTTCCAGCTTTCAAATGTTGGAGGATTTGAAAAGCCAAAAATCTCTCTCACTCTCTCTTTCTCTTACTCCCTCTCTCTCTGCCTTACTCTCTCCCTCTCTCTCTGAATCTATCTCTCCATCCTCTCTCTCTTTCTCTCTCTCTCTCTTTCTCTGTCTCTCTCTGTCTCTCTCTCTTTCTCTATCTCTCTCTCTTGCCCTCTCTCTATCCCTCTCTCTCTCTCTTTCCCCCTGATCTAGAACATACAATTTCCTTTTCAAATTATGATATGATGATATGATAAAATATTCAATGCCAAATATGTTATATCGTATGGTCACATTTACTATACATACACATATACGTACATATATATGCACATATATGGTAAATACTTTACAAGATGTGTGTAAATACAAATGAATGAATCGTTCATTGAAATGCGAAAGTCTTTTTTGGCTAGACTTTTCCTGATGTTGTCCATTACGCGTACATATAGACATACGCATATACATACATGCACACATATGTATATGTATGTATGTATGTAGAATCTGTGTGTGTGTGTGTGTATCTGTATATCTCATCTTGAATTTTGTACTCGTATTTTATTCGTTTTCATGTTGTCTTGTCTTGTCTTGTGCTGCGTTTATATATAGACAGACTGACTGCGGATCGACATAGCCATAGCCATAGCCATCGACATCGACATAGACATAGACATAGACGTAGACATCGACATCGACATCGTCCGTCTGCACACATGCTGAGCTGTTTTGTTCACTTTCAACACACTAGCCTTAATGTCTAATGATGTTTTGCCCCTTACACGCGTGAAGTAGAAAATTATTTTTAGTGCCCAAAATCTAATACGAATGAAATAGAAATAAAAGCGCACAAAATTTAAATTAAACCTTTCGAGAACAAATCGGCGAAGGCATTCAATTTGCCAGCAGACATTTGCCATTGGCTTGGCCCCACTGTGCGTGAAAATACATGCATGCGCATATGCACTCATATGTGTGTGTGTGAGTGTTATGGGCAGTGTGGGCGGGCTGGGTCAAGCAAGAGTCAGCGGCAGCGGCAGCAGCAGAGACAGTGGCAGACAATGAGTTACAACTGTCAAGTCGATTGCCGTTAAATCGCTCAAGAGCTCAAGAAGAAAGACGATGACGACGACGACGACGACGACGACGTCGACGAAGACGCAGGCGACGTGCGCAGTTGGCGTCGTTAAAAAAAAAAAAAAGCCCGAAGCTGAATTGCCGAGGCGCGCGCTCTGTGCGACATAATCCCAACCCCCGTGGGGTGTACTGCAGCCGCTACTACATTGTACCTCATCATCCAGTTGAGAGCGCTCTTTGAGCGACCATCTTGATTTACATGTGTGTGTGTGTGTGTGTGCGCCCACAATATTATGGCCATTTCATAATTTTATGTTTTTGGTGTTGTGCGTCTTCGATAAAAACGCACCCCGGACTCCCTTTCCACTCGGCAACCCACACGCAATGCGCTCATTGAGCGCTCTATTGCCCTCTCGCTCGCGCACTGAGTGAAAAAGCGCAGCAATCAGCTGTTTCTGAGCGACCCAGCAACATGTAAAGAGATGGCGGCAAATTACAAAACTTTGCCAATATGCGCAACAATGTTCGATGCTCACACTGATCCCGAGCCGAGCAAACTCCCAAGCGGTGCTCCCTCAACCAAACAGCAACAACAACCCACATAGTGCCACTCACACATTTGCCTCTTAACTTATGTTGTTTCAATTCGTAGATCGCATGTTGCACCCCACTAGGCGCAATACATACGTGCATATGTGCGTGTGTGTGTGTGTGTGTGTGCGTGTGCGTGCGTTTTTGTGTGTGTTTTGGTTCAATTTATGGCAATTAATGCATTGGAGGCGTGCATTTTAAGTGCCTGTGCCCAGTGACAATTTTATGGGGTTCAACAAACGCTAATTTCATGCATGTTGCAACATACACATACACACGCATGCATACATACAAACATAAATTCATAACAAAGAATAAAGTTTCTTACATTTGTTAATTGACACTTTCAGTATTTAGAGAATGGCGAGTGTCAGTTAAAAACTTGAGAATCGCACAGAAGAAAAAGAAGAAAATTAAAAATTCTTTTCCTTGTTTTATATATTAATATCTTGTTAATCAATACCATTTCCATATATTTAAGATCATTAATATATATACCATTCAGTTCTATACTACCCGTACTAATACTAAATCCTTGCAAGTCTATTCACTTAGTTCTTGGCA